GAGAATGCATTCTCCCCAAAACCGAATAGGCAGACTGGCCTGAAATCGGAGTGCGCGAGCGGTGTCGAGAATGTGCCGATGCTTACGTTCCACCACCCCATTCTGTTGGGGGGTATCTGTGCACGAGGTCTGAAGGAGGATGCCTTCCTGAGCATAGTAATCGAGCAGCCCAGTTGTCTGAAACTCACCCCCATTGTCAGCCTGAATGCGCTTAACCTTGCAGCCAAACTGGGTCCGAACCATGCTGCAAAACTGGAGTAGATAACGCTCTACATCGAATTTGTAGCGCAATAAATAGACCCAAACACCACGAGTAAAATCATCCACAATGGTGAGAAAATAATGAGCACCACTAAGCGAAGCAACCTTATAACCACCCCAAATGTCAACGTGAATAAGGTCAAAACGATGTGAAGTTTTAATCATGCTCGAAGAAAAAGGCTCTCGAGTTTGTTTGGCCCTCAAACAGGAGTGACACGGACCAGGATTCGAATCAACATTAAATGACAATAACCGACTCAAATGTAAAGTTTTCTCCGGGGATGGATGCCCAAGACGAGCATGCCAAAGAACAGCAGAAACTGAGCTACCACGCCCCACAGCACACGCTCGCGTCCACCCATGTCCAAACAAGCGGAGGTAATATAGCCCATCACGGAGTTCACCCATCCTAATCAAGTTCTTCGAGCGTAAGTCCTGAAGTACGCAAAAATTGTTAAAGAAAAATCAAAGCGACATGATTGTCCTTAGTCAACCTGCTGACCGAGATGAGGTTACATCGAAATTCAGGCACATGTAAGACTCGCTCAAGAGTGAAACCTTTCTGCAGTTTGACTGAACCAATATGTTTCACAGGAATGCTATCACCATTAGGAATGCGCACAGGTTGGCTATGCGCTGGAATTTCTTTATGAGAGAATAATGATTCATCCATAGTTATGTGCTCGTTGCAACCAGAATCGAGCAACCATTCAGATTCATAAGAAACCGTACCTGCCATGTGAGCTGCCGGGTCATCTGCCGATTTCCCTCCACCTGCGAAGAACAACTTGAGCTGCTCAAGTTGGGTCATCGTGAAGTCAGGGACTGGCCTGTATTCGGAGTCCACCTGGGAAGCCTTAGGCTCTCGGCCAAGAATGCCATCAGCGGCATTGCGAGGCTTGCGGCGGGGAGGCTTCTCTCCTTGGTCATCGCGAGGAGGATAACCAACCAGCTTGTAACAAGTATCACGCGTGTGCCCAATGCGTTGACAGTGCGTGCAACGGACACGATCCTTTTGCTCCCCCGCGCTACGAGAGCTTTTGTCCGAGTCTCCCTTGGCAACAAAGACGGCGGCTTCAGGAGCAGCCTTCCGATTCTGAGTAACACTGCGCTGCTGTTCCTCATTGAGAAGCATATGAAAAGCTTCTCCCAGGACTGGAACGGGACGCATGTCAAGGATTTGGGAGCGGATGGCGCCAAAAGTGTCATCAAGCCCCATTAAAAATTCATACAGGCGAGTGGTGTCTTGCAGCTCACGTACCTTTCTTGAGAGTCCACAGGTACAATTTCCACACTCGCAAATAGGGAGCGGCTCAATCTGGGAGATTTCTTCCCAAAAGCCACGCAGACGAGTGTAGAAAGCAGAGACGGTGTGCTTCTCTTGTTGGAGAAGACTGATGAGTCGGCGCAGTTCATATGCCCGCGAAGAACTGCCCTTGCCGAAGCGTTCCTGCAGGTCAGCCCTAATCCCGGCAGCGTGCTCGGCGAAGCGGATGCTGCTACAGATCTCTTTGTCCATAGAAGTTTTTAACCAGCCTTTCACCATCGCATCACAGCGGATCCAAGCAGCCCTTTCCAACGCAGCAGACGGCTTGGGAACGGTACCATCAACGAAGCAAAATTTGTTCTTGGCGATAAGGGGATCCTTCATATCGAGGACCCATTCGCCGTAATTGGAGGCCGTCAACACATCACCGACCAGGAGATTGCCAGGGCCATCCGAAGGAGAAAGAAAGTAGAAGGAAGAGGATCTTCGATTTTGACAGAAGCGCCGCCGGACGGTGTCCCTTTGGAATCTTCGCCGTCGAGACTCATGGCGGGCAAGAAACACGAAGCTGGAGCTTTTCACAGCTCTGATACCATGGTAAATAGTACGAAACAGTACGAAATAGAGACGTCGATTTTACGTTGTTCTTCCTCACAGTGTGTGAGGCTTACATCCACGAGAATATGATCTTATGTTATTGATCGATTACGGCTTACAGCCGCAGTTACATATTTATACCCATCATCAGTAACATCTAGGGTACAATTATGATTCCATACACAAGGAGTATTAGGAGTAGTACTCTCCACGTTCCTAACAGCAACATGGCCTGCATGTCTAACGTGGACCAAGGCTGCACTATTGACGTGGGCTGGAATCGGGGATGGATGGCCCAATAAGCCTTGAATGCTATACTCCGTTTCTCCTTTCTGGGCTCATCAACTTCTTCTCTCTTTAATTTCTCCTCATGAGCATAGTCCATGAAACCGTACCGTACCGGCGGTTCAACCACAAAATACCAGTATTGGAGGTTAAACCAATAGGCGGTATTTAACGGTACTAACGGTTGAACTACGGTTGAACGACGGTTTTGTCATAAAATACCCTACCGCTGAATTTTCCGGTACGATCTCTGGTACGGTTTCATGGACCATGTTCATGAGTTATCAAAGATCCAATCAGCTCATCTAAGCTAAGCCTAGTCAGATCTTTTGACTCCTTAATAGTTGTGACTTTCGGAGTCCATCGCTTTGGCAATGCCCAGAGTACATTTCGTACGAGATCAGCACTTGGATATTCAACTTCCAGGTTTCTCAGACTGTTGACGATTGTAGTGAATTGATCATTCATTTCTTAGATCGATTCCTCTGGCTTCATGATGAAAGATTCAAAGTCTTGTTTGAGGCTGTTGATTCTGGAAATCTTGAAATCAGAGGTACCTTCATGGGTGATCTGCAGCTTGTCCTAGATTTCTTTGGCTGTCTTGCATCCTGTGACTCTATGATATTCTTCAGGTCCTAATGCACAATACATTAGGTTAGTCGCCTTTGAGTTTAGCTGGAAATTTTTCTTGTCATCTTCTGTCCATTTCCCTCGAGCTTCCTCGACTTCTAAGGGCCCATCCATACAATATTCCATAGGTCTGGATCGGTGGAGCAGATGAATAACTCCATTCTATTTCTCCAGTAAACGTAGTGTACTCCTTCTAATCGAGGCGGTCGTGTTTGAGAGAAACTATCAGCCATGTAGATCCCCAATCCAGCCGCAGAACTCGAACCCATCTTCTCCGAAGGATTTCAAGCCTTGATTTCGGAACCAGACTCTGATACCACGTGTAGGTGGAGATCGAGAGCGAGACCTGAATGAGATTCCTCTCCTTCCTCTCTTCCTGGAAACAGGAAACCCTAGAAAATTGCTTTCAATTGAGAGGAACGATTCAGGTGTAAAAATGAGTAAAATGCAGAAGTTATGTTTGATATGAAATGGACAATTAAAAAGACAATTGGGCCTGTTTGAGGTATGTTTAAACCCAGCCCACAGAGAAAATCCAAACACCCGATGCGAATTAAGCCCTTGAATGAAAATTCCGAACCCAATGCAATTTCACTTTTTCTTCTTCCTCGACTCTGTTTCTGACAAAAACTCCCTTGTTCCGAGCTTATCAATTGACTCTGCAAAACAAAGTTAGAAACGAAAACAAAAGCAAAAGTCAAATGAACACAGTCGGTTTTTACGTGGTATCCAGCGCAGGGAGAATAAGGATCCCTACGCTGACTAATCCACGGTTGAAGGATCTCTTCTTGAGATCTTCAACTTATCACTAATAGTCTTCTTCTTTGAAGTTCTTAGTTACAGATATGAGACAAGAACTCTCAGCCTGAAGCTGGTACTCGAGCCAATCCTAGCTAGGCTGTACTTTCTATCACCACAGAAAGTTCAACCCTCCTAGCTATCTAAAGCAATCACACTGATATGCTCTCTTTTTCACAAAAAGACTATAGCCAATCTTGCTCTACTGCTTTTTGAATTCTAAAAAAGGTGTTTATCAACTTCAACTCTGTATCTTCTTATACTCTTGCTTCCCAACGTCTCTTTGGTGGAATTTCCATTTCTGGCTTGTGAGCAGAGAAGGTAAGGTAGACTGATTTGATTCCTCGACCAGAGGTATTGAGAAACTTTCCAAATCAATCTTTCTGGTCCGTTATATTGCTTAATCAGAGCTAGTTAATTTCTTGAGGAGAGCCATTTACGAGCTTCCTTCAACAATAATTTGATTATACGCCCACTGACCTAAAAATTGAAGATAAAATTGATTAGTTAGTTGTACTCGAACCTTATTGGTTGCCTAAGTACCCGTAGCACGGGATCAAAGTCTACGTAGTTCGTTATAGCTTTGATAATTTAATTGTGACCACGTTCCACTAATCGTGATTCTCGTATTAAGGATTTTGTTTAATAAAATTTGAATAGGTTATTACGAGGTTGTTAAGAGAAACATAATAATTTTAGTTGTTAGGTAGATATTTGATGTATTAGAAAAGAAACAGGATTAACTTAATCCTCATTCAAAATTTCTTATTAAGGATATTAAATGATAAAATGAAATGGAATGATTAATTTATGCATAATGAGCCAGTAGATCAATTGGTCTGCTTGTCGATTACAATTTGTGTGCAGTCATCACCAATTGAAGTTCGAAACTCGATAACAACAATTTTGGTTAATAGATAAAAGGGATAGTTTTGTATTTTTGCAAAAGGATGATGGCAGGGCCAAGTAAATTGCTAGGAATCCCCTTGTTCTGTGATAGATAAAAGGGATAGTTTTGTATTTTTGCAAAAGGATGATGGCAGGGCCAAGTAAATTGCTAGGAACCCTAGGGGGATTTTTGTCATTTTACAACGTTAAGTATATAATCTTCTCTTAAGACGAAAACGAAACCCTATTCTATTCTAACCTAGCAGCCGACCGCCCTCTCATCTCTCCTCTCTCGTTCTCTGCTTCTCCGAACCAGAGACCCCTCTGGTTTTTTCATCACCGCCATCTCTCTTCTCCCCTCTCTCCTCTCTCTTTCCCCCATCCTTGTGTTTCTCACCTCTGTTCCAGAGAACGAAAACCTAAACCCATCTCATGCCGCCGCCATCCTCTTCTTCTCCTCGTGTTCTTTCTCATCCCAAACCCACGTGAACTCCAAATCCTATTTCGCTTTCTAATCGAAATCCTGATACGAATTTCAAGTCCCATGGCCGCAACAACGACGATGGCGAGAAAAGATGGCCTGATCCACTGCAATCGACTATAGAGATGTAGATCCAGGTGAAGTTTTTGCTTGCATGTTATTTTCTTTCAATTTACTTGTTGATTTTGAGGAGTTTTTGGGTTCTAACCGATTTTAATTTGTGTTTTTTTATGGGGTTTGGATCTGGATTGACAGAAAGAAGAGAAATAAATCACCAACGCCGACAGACGACGATGACCGAGAAGAAAGCACGGCGGAGACGGAGGACAAATCCCTCAGCGATGATGAGTGAATCCTAGTCAAGTTTCACGAGTTGCATGTTCCGATTTCTGGGTTTTTTTTGTTGATTTGAGGTTCTGATGTTTTTTTTTTTTTTTGGTTTTGGATTGGGGCGACGAGGGGTAGAGGAAACAACGCATGACAGGGGGGAGGAAGAGTCGTCATAGGCAAGGATCTCCAGCGACGACAGTTGAGTATTTTTTTTGTTTTTGTTTATTTCGATCTGAGACAGATATGATACTTCTCTTCTTTATTTATGCAGATTTGAGAAAACGCCGGATCTGTGTGAGGTTTTCTAAACTCAATATGATTATGGGAGATTAAACTAAAAAAAATGGATTGTACGACCTTTAGGATAGCTAACAGACGTGTGTTTTCAATAAAAATGGTCATATATGAGTCTAGATAATAAATAAAAGCCGAATGATGAAAACCGTTGCTCCATTTCAAATTTCCTGCAACGAGAGTGATTATAGGAAGGACATTTTGGTCTTCACAATTGCTTATTTTCTTATTTATTTATTCATAAAAAAGGCATGCACTGGGATTTGAACCTTGGTCTCTTTAAAGGCAAGCAAGGATCATAACCAATCACACTAAGTATATTTGTTGTATCTATTTAAATTCAAACATACACGAACCTAAATTATGAAAATTATATGACTTTTTAACGATTAGTTTGCCACTGAATCTCCCGTAAGTACTTATTTGGTGTTTTAATACTTAGATTATTTTAGTTGTAGTTTAATACTTAATTTAAATTTCTATCTATTTTATAAATATACAATAACCCTAAAATTGCAGCCCAAATATCACTGGTTCGAATATTGCATATCGAATTGCAATATTAAACATGTAGAAGCAATATCGACTTCTTAAATTAATATTATTTTTCAGAATTACTATGGAGAAATTATATCTTTGTGCAAACTATATGAGACTGGTTCTTTTAATGTTTTAGTCGGGATAACCGCTACATTTTAAACTTCTTCATAATCTGGCATGATTGGATCCAATGATCATTATACAAGATTGTGTTTAATAGGGTGGCTCATTTCACCACTTTTTGGCGTGTTAATGAATTTGTAGGACAATGACAGGTCTACATCTACACTCATCACAATCTACACATCATATAAATGTGAAATGTGAAATGAGAAAAGAGGGATTCCATTTCAAATTTGATGCGCACAGAACAATTTTTTAGGGGTAAAATTAGAAGATGTCAGTGCGGTCGGTCTGTTGAGCACGAAAGTAAAAATATGTTTTCATTTGAACGGGCCCAAACTGTTATTTGGCCCACTAATCGTGCACCCATCGCCAATGCAGTCAAATTCGGGATTTTGATCGTAAAATCGTAGGATTTTAGGATTTTACTTAGTGATTCCGATCTTGATTTTACTATAAAATCGGTGGACCTTAAAATCGTTTAAAATCGGGATTAAAATCGTTAAAATCGTAAAATAGTACCGAAATCGGGATTTTGATCGTAAGAGAACAAAATAGGTGGTTTGAGCCAATTTAAAATAAGTATAACTGTTTCAGCGGAAAGGGCAATGGAATCTTCTCAGATATTTTTCTATTAGAAAAATATTCAAAAATAATAAAAATAACCAAATTAGGGTTCGGTTAATCTCTTTCCCTTCACCCCATTTAACTTATTGGTAAAACACCTGTCCTAATATTGGAAGTATGTAAGAACTAACATCATTATTAACTAATTAATTTATTAATGAATATATTTGTACCAAGCCACTAACATTACTTATTTTATTGGAGTTCAATTATTTTTAGTTTTAAATCATACTTAGTAGACGATGTCGAAATATTACTTTGAGTTAAACAACCTAGACATAACATGAAAATAAGAGCCAAACCCATGAACTATATCCCTTCATCATGAATTATTTTGAGTTACACATTAAATAACAATTAAAATAGTGATTTTGGAACATTAATCTTGAGAATTATCTTATGGAAAAAAAAATTCTGAATTATCATTTTAAATGCTATGTGTCTTTGTGATATTAATAATTTACCTTATTAATATTCTTATATGCTATGTTCTATATGGTACTTAAAATCCTACGATTTTATGATTCGATTATACGATTTTGATTTTACCCCAGTTTTCGATTTTAGGTAAAATCTCGATTTTAACTGCTTTGCCCATCGCAGCCTCTCCAAATCTTCCTATTCTACTCGCCGGGTCATCTCCTCCACTACAAAATATCTCCTCATGTACTCAAAGTTCTCACTGAAACCTAATACATACAACTTAGGCGCAGAGGGAGCAACCGAGGATTGTAGCGACCCCCACTATTTTGATAGCTAATCAAGAAGAGCGCGTTTGTTTAGTTGTATAGTGATTCACTTAATTAACAATTTTTATTCCGTTGACAGCCTCCTCTCCGCAATTATATTGTGTTCACGAATATCTGAAGGCGCAAGTGCAACAGGTCCAGGGGTAAACAATATGTACAAAGCGTTGGCCAAATTGAATTGAGTCATTCTACTTGGAATATGAAGATTTTTGCTTAATTGCTTTGGTTCGTGATGCAACTATGTTATGTTTGAAGGTAGACCAACGCAAACAACAACACAACTCCAGGGCTATTCTGCACATTAGGTAGTTGGGGCATTAATTGATAATTATTTGGGATTATTCCTACAAGTACATAATTTGGAACGTGCCTTTATATTGCATTGATTAATAGTTGTTTGAGATTTTTCAAATGAGTGATTTGACATGTTAAACTCTCTTATTTTTGAAAATGGAGTCTTCGAAGTGGAATATGAAGATTTTGGATTAAGTTTGGTTTCGTAACGCCCTTATGGGTGTTTATTCTCTAAAATGCAGCTGTCTTTCAAAGTGCCCGTTGCAAATGGCAAGTCAGGATACAACGATGGTACCGGTACACGTTTATATCATTAGTAGGTAGCAGATTGTGTCCATTCTACTATATCATTTAGCTAAATACTTAGTTGTTCTTTTCAACTAAAAATTATGCTTAAATACTGTGATTGGCCTCAGAAATGTATGTCTTTGCATTAACTGTTAATGATTGTGAGTTTTGGTTTAATGGTGAAAAGTCCATTTATTTAGAAGTCTAAATTGGGCAAACCTATTGGACAATAGGAATGCCATACATTAGTGTCGTGGGAGGTTTGTTTGATGTCTCAGGGTGTTAGATTTTTAAGAAGGTTGTTTGTTGTGGCAGAGAGTCCCTAAAGCTAGCGAGGTATTCCTATGTGGGCTTTTTCTTTGTTTGACTTTTTCTCGCCTTTTTTCTTATCTCTTTTTCTATCTTTGGTTTTTGTGTGCTACCTTCAGTTGCTACGTCTTCATTTGTGAGCCATCTATACTTTTCTTATTCAGTGCCTAAAAATCATATATACTCGATTGCATAGTAGTTACTAATAGATACATTTATACCAATAGAGAGATTTTAAGTTTTATCAGTTGTTAGTTTTAATATTTACTTACATTGGTTGTTTATGTAGTTTTCTTTGTAATATTTCTCATTATACAACTAATTACTATGGCTACGTAGTTGTATAAGTGGGGGTTGGACATGATAGTTCTTAGAAGCATCAATACTTGAAGGTTATTATAATGACCAAATTCTAAAGTTATGGTTTGCCTTCAACTTGCTTGGAGCATTTCAATTATGCATCAATTGTTCTCTCCGTGTAGTTAACTCTCAGACAAATCGAAAATCTTGCTGATATGTGCTTGATTGTAGTTAAATTTAGGGTTCTACTGCATTGTTGCTTTACTCTTTTTTCGTGGTTGAGTCTGCTTCAAAAAATTTAGTTTGATTTTAGAAAATTTTGCTTCTGCAGTCCTGTCTTGCCACCAACGCGTTCAATAGATGGAGACGGGAGAGGCGAAGGCTATTTTTGTGTTGTTGTTGCTGGTTTAGGGATCGGTTTGTGAAGAAGAGGGAGAAGAGAGGGGGAAAGGGAAATGCAGGAGAGGGGGATAACTCTTTTCTCCGACAAAAATGGAGTGAAGAAAGGAATTATGATCAGTAAGAATATGGTTATCTTACATAACGGTCTCTATTCTGTTTGAATTGAGCTTGAGAGGCAGTGATAAGGACGAGCTGCAACCAATTCATAGTGAGAAGAGAGCTATGAACTGTGATCATGTCTTATTTCAAGTTAGAAGGTAGTTTCAGTATAAGGATTATTTAATTTGACAAGTTGTTTCGTCCATGATTCTTGGTAGTTTCAGTGCCATTCTAGCCAATGTTTAGTCTGTAATTTTTGAGAATTGATGTGCAAGTAATGGCTTTCACTTAGCTTCAACTATTATGTGTGTATTTATTGGCATGTGATAGAATTCTCTTTTCCTTTTCGTTGAATTCATTTTCATACTCTAATTGTATTATTTGTACATAGGCAAATCATGCTCGAGATGGCAACTCGCTGATATGGCTGGTGCAAGGAATGAAGTCATCATTAGAATTCAGACCGACAACGGGGAGGGATGCCCAGGACTAATTCAATGATGATTGATGATGGTATAATAAAAACTGCAGTCTGCATCAGCACCAATTTCTAGGCCTAAGTAAAGGTATTCAACCCAGAACTCTGCTTAGCGCTAAAAATTGCCCTCACCCAACCTTGATCCTGTTTGACCCACTTCTGAAGAGTCTAGATATATGACTAATCCTCCCCGTTCGTATTTTCTTATTGACTCTTTCTGACCCTGTAGGTTGGGGCGGGTCGGGAAGAATTGGATTAGTGGGTCGGTCCTAATCAAGTGGAATCCCAATCCCTTCACTCTCACTTGCTTTCTCTCCCATTCCACAAGTGGGTAACATACAGTAATCCGGCCAACGGGCCGGGTAATAAGCTAGTTTGAATTATATTCTGGAATGGTATTTCTTTTTTGATTTGGCCTAGTATGGTAGGGGTTCAAATTGAAAAAACGATTTTTGTCATTAAAATTCGAATCTGATAGTTTTGATCCAAACTCAAATTCTGAATTTTGGTAGAGAATGAGTTTCAAGCGTATGTGCTTTTGAAGTTTAACAAGAATGGGAATTGCTAATTTTGGCTTCTATGAATCGCGGCCACTGCTTGCAATTTTGGATAGATTATGAACTCAAAATTGTAGTTATTGGTTGTGATTTTGCTAGACTCTGCCAAGTTGTCGTAAAAAATTTACAATAACAAGTTCCGATCAAAATAAAAATTAAATATCAATCTCTATATACAAATCATCCATACATAAAACACCAATCTACATAATTTAAGGAAATGACAAATTAACCATACAATATAGAAAATTGAAGAAAATTGAAGCAAATCACAAATTATCCATAAACAACAGGATTAATTGAAAGCTTATTCCTCCTTGTCAACTAAACTTCTTCCCTCTCTTCTCCATAATATCAACTTCATTCTTCACAATTAGAAAGAACAAATTAGACATGTCTCCACAAACATAAAGAAGATTAGTTGCTTAGAATATTGAATATACAGGAAAAATTAATTATATGGGTGTGTGCGGGTATCCATGGGCCGGGTATATCTAAACCCAAACCTAACCCAATAGACTGAATAGTGTAACGGGTTTAAATCTGAACCCGTCCCAAACCCCGTCAACAATGGTTTTACCTGCGTTGACCAGGTTGGGTCTGGTAGGGTACCCGTGGGTTTGGGTTTTGTTGTTATCCCTACTTGCCAGCCCAAGTTTACGTACAGTCGCCCGCATTCCGTGCGCCCCTCCTGACCTCTCTCTCCTCTTTTAGTCTGATGATTCCTATAATTAGCTCTTTAAAAGAACAAAGACTATTTCATAGAGTCACATCACAAGTAGTGACCCTTTTGTAATTAGCCATAGATTGGAGGAGTTTTTGTGTCATTAAGGTTCTAATTAATTAGCTTATGACAATTGAGTTAAAGCCGGAGTGCCACTATTCGCATATCGATCGCGTTTATAGTCGTTTACCCGTTTTCTCCGTGGTGTCGGGCTTGCAAATGATTTTGATTTTTATGGTTTTGGGTTTTATGCTCAGTCTTTTTATGTATTTGGCTATTTTTTTTGTCTCCGTAGTTGGTACCTTTTTCCTTATCTTAATGATGTTTTGTAACACCCTACCCTGTACATTTTGTCTAATCATATTGTTCATACAATTGCAGCGGAATTTAAAATTGGTGTTACATTAATTACCAAAATTTACCCAAATAAAATTTCGACATGAACTACTCGTGTAATGGACTAACAGTTCTTGCAACTAGACCTACAAAATAATTTATCTGAATCCCTGCATTCGTAGACATAGCAACCATATACATTGGCTTTCATAGGCATAGTCATAGTTTTATACTCCACAAGTGCATACCTTACTAATACATACCATAGTCGTCACTAGGGGTGGGCATTGGGTGGGTCAGGTGGATTTTGACCATAAAATGCACCCACCCGCGCTTAAACGGATTGATAATTTATAACCCACCACCCACCCACATTTAGTCTTAGGTTGGGTCGGGCGGATGGTGGGTGGTGCGGGTGGGTTTGTGGGTTCACCCACATCACAATGTATATAATATAAATGTGTCAACTTGACATGATAATAGGTGAAGAGAATCATCGAGGGAAAAAAGAAGTTGAAATAGGGCGAAAAATGTCGAATTAGTTCTTAAATTAGATAGAAATTCTATTATGAAAGAGTTTTCTACAGATTGAGACGATTATTAGGTGCAAGAAACTAAGAAAAATAATTTCACAAAGGAAAGAGCAGTGATCTAGGCACAAGAATTAGAGGAAAAAAGTAAAGGGAGGAAGAGGGGATCTCTATTTGGAAGGTTGACTTTGAGGTTCAAACTCCAGGAGCAGTCCGAGTTTATATCTAACGTCTCCACTCTCCTCTCTCTAGCGCCAACGAATTTGATTTTTTTGCTGTTGGGTTGAGCGGGTCACCCACACACTCACCCACAACCCACCCACCACTCGGCGGATGGCTCCCAGCGCAACCCGTCCCCCACCCACAGACCCACCCATTTAACGAAATTCAGGTCAAATGCGGGTGGGTCGGCCCAAACCCGCGGATGATCCGCCCGCATGCCCAGCCCTAGTCGTCATAACTTACACAACCATACAAATATACACATTTAAACTTTCCACACCTGTGGATATCTCGCACTACATCAGAAGCTAGTATGCACATGAAAAACGTTCTCAAAACATTTTTACAAAAGAGGTGCGATCACTGGCAAAAATCCCAAGTAGTCGTCCAAGCACAGGATAGGTGAAGACAATACCTCATTGTGCCTTCAACTCCTCGTTCTGCTCACACCTATGTTCTTGCTACTGCTACTGCTGATGATGGAATAATAAAACTACTCTGTGCGAGCTACACGGAAACATTGGCCTTATCTTGATCCACACATCGTTAAAACTTTCACCAAAATAATAACTTGGAAAACAAGATAAAAACTACACATAATCTTTAGAAATCTTTTAAACCATAACTTTTTCAAGATTCCTTTCAATACACAATCATTTTTTACAAAATGCAAGTGACTATGCACACATCATCAACGTTGGTCCCAAATCCTAGGAAGTTTAGTTCAAGTACAGGTATGGAGTACTCCCTCCCCTTTTGAGGGCGATCAATCCTCAAGAGTGGAAGTAACATACCCATAATGCAGAAAACAAAACAGCTCTGATACCAAACTGTAACACCCTACCCTATATGTTTTGCCTAATCATATTGTTCACACAATTGCAGCGGAATTTAAAACTGGTGTTACATTAATTACCAAAAATTACCCAAATAAAATTTCGACATGAACTACTCGCGTAATGGGCTAACAGTTCTTGCAAGTAGACCTGCAAAATAATTCATTTGAATCCCTCAATTCGTAGACATACATATATACTAACAATCATATACATTGGTTTTTATAGCCATAGTCAAAGTTTCATACTCCACAACTGCATACCTTACTAATACATGCCATAGTCGTCACAACTTACACAACCATACAAATATACACATATCAACTTTCCACACCTGTGGATATCTCACACTACATCAGAAGCTATCATGCACATGAAAAGCGTTCTCAAAACATTTTTACAAAAGAGATGTGGATCACTGGCCAAAATCCCAAGTAGTCGTCCAAGCACAAAATAGTTGAAGACAATACCTCATTCTGCCTTCAACTCCTCGTTCTGCTCACACCTATGTACTTGCTACTGCTACTGCTAATGCTGATGATGGAATTAATGGATGGGGGAAGATTTATATATATGCAGCCCGACCGCTTATTGTTTTATTATTATTATAAAATATATATATATATATATATAATTAATACGTATACTTATCCGATCGATATTCCGATTTTCGTCGAAATACTGTCAAAACACTCGATTTTAAATCTTGAAATTTTCTAGGGATCGTAATATGAGTTAAGCCGAAACGGGATGTTACATGTTTCCCGTTGTGTCGGACTTGAATATGATTTTTGCGAGTTTAAGGTTTATCTAGGTATTGCAAATAACTGCTTGAATTTGTTTTGTGTAGCCTCTTGGAGTCGTTTGACCGCCTTTTCTCTGTTGTGTCGGGGTGGCAAATGGTTTTTTTGGTTTTTTTATGCCGGATTTTTTTTCGTTGAATATGTCGGATTTTATGATCTATTGTGTTTAACTTTTTTTTAGTCAAATTTTATTTTGTATTTGTTTTGTGGAGCCGCTTGGAGTAGTTCCACCAGCTTTTCTCTGTTATGCCAGGGTTGCAAATGGTTTTTTTCCCGCCAAATTTTGTGATCTATTGTGTTCGACTACTTTTTTCCCACCGAATTTTATGATCAATTGTGTTTGACTACTTTTCTTTTGCCTTCAAGGTAGGTACCATTTTTTTATCCTAATGACCTATTGATTGTTCTTTCCTTGAGGGGAGTATTGTTATGGAACAATTCAAATATCACATCAGAAATAAAAGGGAAGGAACCCTTGTATATTAGTTTCAACCAAGCTCATTAGTACGAGGCCTTGTGGGGAGGATATCCAAAAATAGAACCGTGCGGGCTTGGCCCAAAACGAACAATATCGTACTAATTGAGCAGCCCAATTACAAAAATAAGTTTAGACTTTACGCGATGTTGACGAGTTTTGTCGGCAACGAATTGAGCTTATTGTGGATTTTGTTGCATGAGGTGAACGTGATATTGAATAGTTTTTCTACGAGATCGTGTTTTAGATGCTTTTCTAATTCGACCCTGTCAAAGCGAGTTTAATCCCGTTTTGACGAATTTAGGAACGGGGACGAGTTTTACCTACTTTTGCAATGAACGAATTGGGCACCTAATTCGAACCGGTCAAAGTGAGTTTAACCTGGTGTTGGCAAATTTTGGGTCGAGAACGAATTTGACCCACTTTTGTAATAAACGGGTTGGGTCGAGTGTGGATTTTGTTAAAAGAAACTAATCGTGGCGACTCCGTTCTTCTTCTTCAACAAGGTCAGGGTCCATCATTAATAGTTTCCATCCAATGGGTGACCATTTCGTAACTAAAGAAATCTTTGAGGGTCTTTTAGATTTTTTGTTTTAGGTAAATACAATTCAATAGCCAAATCTTTTGTTTTAAACACAATAATATCCAAATTTTTTCGAAAACAATTTAATAGCCAATTTAGTTGACTCTTAAATAACAATTTTATCACTGAGTTGGATATTAATTAATGATGTGGCAAAAAGACTGTGCATTATATTTATTAATCTATATAATTATTTTTACAAGTAAAATAAAGAATAAAGAAAAATTTTAGGCAATCTAAACCCTCAATGCCCCTCTCATCTCCCACCAAACACTCCGGGAGAAAATCAGCAACTTTCCGACTACGCCACCAGCTTCCCTCGCCTCGACATTCCCATCAATGGCCTTTAGAAGGACGGGGAGAGAGATAAAGAAGAAGATGATGACGTCTGTTATGGGACAATCCAAGTACCACATCGGAAATACAAGAGAAGGAACCCTTGTATATTAGAGTCAACCTAGCCCACTTAGTAAGAGGTCTTTTGGGAGGACACCCAAAAGTAAAACCGTGCGGTCTTGGCCGAAAGCGGACAATATCGTACTAATCGAGCACCCCGGTTCGACAAGTGGCATCAGAGCCTGGTTCGACGGATCCGGGGCGGTGGACATTAGTTTGGTGGACCCTCATCCGGTGACCTCAGGATTTGAGATCTGCATATGGTTTGGTGGATCCACGAGAGATCCACGTCTGGGCTACATCTGGTTTGGCGGATCAAGGCAATCTGCATTTGATTTGGCGGATCAAAGAGAGTTCCGCGTCTGGGAAAATCCTTGTACCGAGAAGCCCATCGATACAAGGTGTCTAGCGGATCAAGATAACCGCAGAGGTGAGGACACGATGTCCGTGGACCTTGTCTTGAGTGAAAATTGTTATCGGACAATCAAAGTACCACATCGGAAATAATAGGGAAGGAACCCTTGTATATTAGAGTCTACCTAGCCCACTTAGTAGGAGGCCTTTTGCGGAGGATACCCAAGAGTAAAATCGTTCGGGCTTCACCCAAAGCGGACAATATCGTATTAATTGAGCACCCCGGTTTGACCAGTCGTATCAGAGTCTGGTTCAGTTCGGGGCGATGGACGTCAGTTTGGTGGGATCCACGTTTGGTGGCCTCGGGATTTGCGATTCGCGTTCGTTTGGCATATCAAAGAGAGTTCTGCGTCTGGGCTGTTTGGTGGATCCAGGAGGGATCCACATCTGTTTGGCGGCTCAAAGAGAGTTCCACATATGAAAAAATCCTTGTAACGAGAAGCCCATCGATACAAGGTGTATGGCATATCAAGATAATCGGTGAGATGAGGACACGATGTTCGTGGTCCTTGTCTTGGGGGGATGATTGTTATGGGACAATCCTAGTATCTCATCGGAAATACAAGGGAAGGAGCCCTTGTATATCAGTGTCCACCTAGCCCAATTAGTACGAGGCCTTTTGGGGAGGATACCCAAGAGTAAAACCGTGCGGGTTTGGACCAAAGCGAACAATATCGTACTAATTGAGCACCCCGGTTTGACAACGTCGAACAGCTTCGGTGTAGGAGAGTTTTGCATGGCGGTATGGGAGGGGGTCAACGCGTCTGCCCCTATGGCTCCGATGAAGAACAATTGAGGTAGGGAGAAATTATTTTAATTCGCCACTTGTGAGTCGTATACTTTTTCGTGGTGGGCATCGGCGGGTGTGATTCGCCGGAGTTGATCAATGAAAATAGATTCTTCGATGGAGAGAGATAGGAACAAACAAATTAGTGAGACTGTTTTTTTTTGTTTGTTTAAATATATTATAACTTTGGACTTTGTTACAATGATGTCACCATAACTTTCATTTTTCGGTCGATCTCAGTTAGCATTAGCTCGATCTAATTTTTGCTTAAGTGTAAAAACAATTTCATGGTGTCTACTTTGTAGATTCATATCTTACAATTGTCTTGATGGAAATTGGAGATTAATGGCTTGTTTTGAAGTTGGAGTGTCCCTCTACACGTTGAAGTACTTGGGAGCTCTATAGTAAGTCCAGAATACCATTTTTGAACCTCCAAATATAAGCTAATGTTGCAAACCCTAATTAATTTTGTAGAGCTCAAATCCGGATTGCGGGTTTCAGTGTGGGCTTTTGTTGTAATTTTTTTCACAATCCAGCCTCATCAGGTTTGGGCCTTAGTTCATCGGTCAGTAGGGGATGAATACTTGAGACCATTGAGGGTTGAGGTTTGGTTTTGGGAGCAGATGTAGTCACTAACCTTTTGGTGCAATAACCCCATTAATAATCCAATAAGAATCCGCCACATCAGCGCCTCATTCTCTCTTTTCGAAAAAGCTTTAATTTTCCTTCCCTTAATTTAAGTCGGAATTTAGATTTTTTTGCACAGTTAAATCAAATTAATTGTGCTCTTCAAAATGATATTCACTTTGATATTTTTTTGAATAAATTTTTTTTTCCAGTTATTACAAGTACCATATGGTATTGACTAGTATTAAATAAGAGTATAATATATGGTATGAAAAATACCACCCCTTACCAGGATGGTATAGTATGGTATGAAGTTGGTAACGAGAGTTATGAAATTTTTTCACCCTGAAATTTTGGAAATCCAATAGATCAGATTAAATCTTTCATTCTGTGCAAAATTTTTTGAAAACGACTAAAAAACGAAGGAGATACCAAATGGTATGGAGTTGATAACGAATATATGAAATTTTTTTCTCCAAAATTTTTGAAAATGGATATCATTTTGTAAAGCACAACGAACTCACTCCATCTGTGAAAAAAATTAAAATCTTAGTTAGAATGAAAATTATATGTTCCAATCAAGAAAACTAGGGAAAATAAATTTCTTTAATTCTTCTCCCTTAGATCTGCAGCCACTTAAAAGAAAGGTCAAGATTTAGTTACTCATAGTTATGCACCCTAAGGTGTTTTGGAGAAGCAGATCTAGTCAATAACTTAGTGGTCAATAACTATGCATAATCCAATCAGAATCCGTCACATCATTACCACTTCTCTCTCCTGAAAAGCATTTAATTTCCCTCCTCTTAATCTTTAACGGATGATTTCTCACTCTTTTTATGTCGAAATTTAATTTTTTTTTTGCATAGTTAGATCAGATTAATTGTGCTTTTCAAAATGATATTCACTTTGATATATTTTTTAAATTAAAAAAATTGAGTCATTTTTGTACCTGTCTATGCCATATGGTGTTGACTATTATTAAAATAAGAGCATACCTATGTTATGGACAACATGTCATAGTGGTATGAACAACCAAGACTGTAGGATGGTTGAATACATGATAGTAGAAGTATATTAACTGACATTTACCCAACGAACAAAGAGGAAATGGATTTTTATTGCAAGAAACAATGAAGCAACATGGAAATTAAAACACTATCCAAGGAGAAAATGAAGGATTATACAGCTATGAAACAACAACAGAGACAGACAGAGCAAACAAGAATGCCAGAAATTGAAGAAAATCATCCCTCTTCCTAATTCCTAAACGTGAAACAAAACACGATCTTGCCACAGAGATTACCCATGTAGAAATTCCGATTCGCGTTGAAATCAACACCATTGGGAAACGGAATCCGAATCGTCCCCCACCGACTATGATGAATGCAATACCGATCCCCATAGTAATAAGCCATCATCGTCGTCCCGCCTTCAGGATCAGACGTCTTCGCAAACCACCAATTGTTCACGTCGAACTGCCCTTGGCCGGAAGTTTCTGTGTGTACCCATTTTTCATATGGAGCAAGCCACTCTTCTGCGATACCTTCGTCCACCGAATGATAGGTATTATAGACAGCGCTCAGTCGTGGCTCCGTCAAGTCAGGCAGGTAAAAAACCTTGACGTTGTGCCGACTAACCTGGCCTGTAAAACACCAAAATGTCTCCGGCGGCACTGGCCGCCGGTGACTGACGTGGAACGCCCACTCCTCGTTGTTGGGGACTCCGTGTAGGACCTTGCCACCAGGTGACAACACGGATGAGCACTTAACTGTGCTCGACGATAGTTCGTCCCGTAGCTTTGCCAACTCCTTCTTCATATCTTCCACTTCTTTGTCACTGTACTTGATTGGCTTCCCTCTAATCTCTTCATCTTTTTCCTTCATCAATTTTTGAATTTCGTCTTCCTTTTCTTTTCTTAGCTTCCGCAATTCTTCATCCTTCTCGCGTAGGGTCTCTGCCTCTTTCTTCTTCACCGCCTTCTTGATATCTTCGTCCTTCTGCCTCTTGAGATTTTCTATCTCCTCGTCTTTCTCCTTTCTCAACGCTTGCAAACTTGCTCCGCCGGCTTTACCATTTTTGAGTTTTTGCAGCTCTTCGTCCTTCTCCTTCTTTAATTTCTGCAATTCATCGTCCTTCTCCGTCAATCTGGTCAACATTTCTTCCTCTTTGTCCTTTTCTAACTTTTCGAGCTCATCTTCCTTCTCTTTCCTCATCTTTTCCATCTCCTCCCCCATCTCATTCTTTAGCTTTTGTAACTCGTCGTCCTTCTCCTTCCGAAACTTTTGTAGAATGGCTCCACCGTCCTTCCCTTTTCTCAGCATTTGGAGTTCAACATCCTTCTTCTTTGATAATTTTCGTAACTCCTCGTCCTTCTCTTTTCTCAGCTTTTGCAATTCTTCTTCTTTTGTTTCGTTGAGCTTGCCCATTTCTTCTCTCAGCTCTTGCAACTCATCTTCGTTCTTCTCTCTTAAATTTTGCAACTCGTCGTCCATCTCCTCTTTTAGATTCACCAGTTTCTCTTCCTTCTCCGTCAGCAGCCTTTTCAGCTCCTTGTACTTCTCCATACTGATTGTGCTGCCTCCTCCTGTCGTTTGCTTTGATCCCTGACTATGTCTGGGATTGTGGTACTTCAACTCTGAACTACGCCACATGTCAGTTCTAGCGAGGTCGACTCCATGATGGGGCCAGCTGAACAGATCGTTCAGTCGGAGATAGTGAAGCCCAAAGTCGACGTACCCTCCAAGCTCGTTCACATCTTGAAAGCAGTGCCCTCCGGGGCTCACCATCAAGCTTAACCGCTTCAGGTGTTGGGCCAGTTTGGTCAATGCTTCTCGCCTCTCAATTTTCCCATGGCCATCGAAGAACACCAACCCATCATAAGTCCTCGTTTCATCCGCCGTGTTATCATCATCGCCACTGCCGTCGAGGTTGGTGTTGATGTTGGCTACTTTCCTCCAGTGAGTCTTTCGGATGGAAGATGGATGAGTGAGAGTTGACTTTGTCAACTCGTAGACTTGGAGGGTAACCCCATCAGATGAAGCAACAAAGTGTTTGTTGGACTTGAAATCAAAGGGAGCCATTTCGATTTCCGATCGATCTATCGGCTAACTCTGAAGGCAGAGTTGGACAAGGGAGATATATTGCAGTTAAGGGCTAGCTTAGCTTGGTGTTTTAGGCTTTGAGTTGTGGAAGTCTTATATTGACAAACAGACTTAAAAAAAAAAATGTTTCCCACCAAAAAAAAAAAAGACGACTTATTGACTTTTGAAAGAACTTTCGCAGAAGGAAGATACAAAAGTGATAGTAGACCATGACTTTTACGGTGCAAGTGCATTCATTGGAAAATGTAGGATCAACAAAAATGACTGCATAAGCTAGATCAACTATTATCAATACGTTTTTATTCATACTTTTTTTTTTTAATAACCCAGGAATTTTAACCTCACGTGCCACTTTGTGACAGCGGGGTCTATCAAACCTGGGGGAGCACCTATACAAGACACAATAACGAGAGACTTCGTCCCGAGCACTCAAAGGTGCCTCCGGGAACACACAAGCGGCGTCGCTGGGGATCGAACTCACGACCTCTCACTTCCTGAGCCGACCAGACCAGCGGTTTCACCAGCTAGGCTATATTACCTTTGGCTTTTTTAATGGTTGACTATACGTGAATTTATGAAGGTATATTGAGAAATTTAAAATATATATTATTGAAGTAGATATTAAATAGTTTTCATATAAAATGAATATATGAGATTTAAATGGTTGAGCACCTTGCTGCTGTAGACAGATAAAGAATTACAAAATTAAGAAGAAACCGCTGGTAGTTGCTTTGTTTTTATATGGGTATCATTCAATAAACCAATAAGAGAGTGTAATAATAATTATTTATTTGTTGTTCCCACAATTATAGTTCTTTTATATATAAATTTTATAGATTTGTTTTGGGCTATTCGGCAACGACGACTTTTCGACAGTGACTTTACATTATCTCTATTCTATTGTTGGGGTTTCCATACAAACAAACTCCATCCCTTATGGATTGTTAGGATTGAGAGTGACAGGGGTGGTAAACGGTATAACTGATAACCGTACCGATTATTATTGGTTATTGGTATATGTCGTAAACTGGTAACCGTACCAGTTATCATCGGTTATCGGTATGTCGTTAACTGGTTACAACAGTTTTGTATGGTAATGAGAGGGCCTATTGCATTTCCGGTTCACGGTAACAGGTAGTGGTAACCTTCGTGTTAACAGGATACTGACTACTAGCCGATACTACGCCCACCTGTCTCATTTTCAAACCTCTCCTTCCATGCTTCTCAGCGGCGGATCCAGAACATAGTAGAGTAGTGGGCCACATTTGAATATAATATTTGATATGGTAAACAAAATAGTCAAATACTTCCTCGATCCAGGAAAACCAGAGCAAAAGTATCATTTCCCTTCCTCTTCCAAATGCTGCAAAAGCCTCTCTCTTGGGTTTAACTATCGGTTGGGTTAAGTCATTCCAAAATTTTAGTATTTCAAATAAGAAAATAGTTACAAAAATACCAATGGTAACAGACAAATGGCTAAACATTTTTAATGCACTACAAAAGATTTAGCTAATATTTTATATTTCGAAAGGTTTGGCTACGTTGGAAAGTCTGAATGGTTTGGCTAATAAATTGTATTTACTCAAAAATATATAATAACAATATTTTCATTCATTACAATGCCAATAGTAGTAGAAGGTTTTTTTTTATTATTTGGCAAATCCATCAATAATAGAATCTCCATCCATCTCACTAGCATACTCTCTCTCAAAGAAAATAGCTAAGCAATCAACGATAAATTCATCGCGCATTTTGTTGCGCAAATTAGTTTTCACATATTGCATATCTTAAAATGTTTTATCTCCATGGTGGCCGGTGAAATGAGCAAGGTCAACACTAGGCGAATCAACCAACAAATCACTTTGTTTAGAGGGTCTTCTTATGTTCATCTAGACCAAGCTACACACAATTCTATTATCAAATAACACTCGACCGACTTTTAAATAGTACTGGGCTGAATACCTAAAATTGAAAAATTTGATACACTATACTACCTCTGAATCCGGAGGAGGGCTATGCCATGGCCCGGGTTGCCCTAGATCTGTCGCTGCTTCTCTTCATTCTTCTTCTTCCTTGGCTCCCACCCTCTCCGCCTGCCCTAATTTCAACCCTCTGATCTCCTCCCTTACTTTTTCATTCTTCTCCTTCCTCGACTCTCACCGTTACACCATTCTTCTCCCCTCCCCTCCCCTCCCCTCCGCTGCCAACCAATTCCTCTACTTTCACCTCCGTTCTTGCTAACCCTCCAACCATGTAACCCTTCTTTTCCCACATCCCCTATGTCCTGCCGCAGATATGAAACGGTGGTTATTGATTAATAAAAATGAATACTAAAAATATATATAATTATTAACATAGATTAATATTATTATATAATAATAATATATAATATATCTTAATTCAATTAATAAAATTGAAAATGGAACTATTTTGTCTAATATCAATATATATAAAATAATATGATTTTATTTTATTAGTTCGGTTTTTATAAAATGCAAATCTATAAGCGGGGGAGAGAAGGGCGAAGGAGAAAGAAGCCTGCATATTCTCCGGCGGCTGCGGCCGTCGAGGGAGAGAAGGACAACCTGCGGGAAGGTTGTCTTCGTCTACAAGATGACATACATTGCCTTTCTCCACTCCTCCTCTGCTCTACGACGCCATTGCTACATCTCCCTTCACCAATCGCCGCATATTCGTCTTCAGAGGCATTTCCTCTCCCAGCACCAATCGCCAAAATCAGCCATCAAATCGAGGCAGTCGAGCCACAATCGAGATCTGACTGGCCATCGTCACCGTCTCTCAATCTTTGTCACCGCCGCTGCCAACAAGAAAGGGAAAGGTCATCTGGAGAAATGGGCTTCGCTTTAGGTGGAGACATGGAGTTTTGAGAGAAGGAGAAGAAGAGGAATCGAGAGAAGATGAATGATTTCGTTTGATGGCGATGGGGGTTCTGTTTGGGAAGAAGCGGCGAAGTAGACTAAAGGGGAGATTTAATAATGGTTATCAAGCTAACCGGGTTTCTAACAAATGACCGGTTATTCGGTTAGCAGGTTTCCTTCCTGTATCAGTATTCGGTAGTGTTTTCGAGGAAAACGCTATAACGAGAACCGCTTAGTCGGTAACCGACCGATTACCACCCCTAGAGAGTGTAGTAATCTAATCGTCATTGATACGGAAGGACAATTTTGACAAGATTTGAATTTAAAACTCGAGTTGATATGGTGTGGCCAGCTTCATTTTAAGTTGTATGTTCTCATTCTCTTATCTTATTTGTTGATATAGCTGACCATAATTTATATCCACTTTATCGGATTTTTCTTGACAACTCAAATTTCTATGCGTACTGTTATACCACTTTTCAAATTGTCTAGAAAGATTCGGCAAATCATAACTCAATCATTTGCATCGGATTTTCAAAAAATTTAACGTAGAGATATAAGTTTTTTTTTTGTGTATTGTACAAGATATCATTGTTGAACAAAATTTTTGAGATCATCTTACAGCTGTCATATGACGATATTATTATAATATGAGGGTGATGTTAGTCTTACTATGATGGTACGATCATGATATGACTAAGCGATATGATATCTGAAGTCTTATCGTAGTGCATGGTATTATGTTGGTATGACAATGATAAGATAATATGAAGTCTTTGAGCAAAAAAGATGATGTCATCATACCACTATCATATCATCGTATTATCATACATTGGTAAGATACTGTTGTCTGTTATAATACCACAGTGGTAAGATCATAATATGATAGTAATAAGATGACAACAAACATATTTTTTGCTCAATGATATAATAGTGGTAAGATCATGGTATGACAATTGCGAGACCATCTCCATTGCTATCTTTAGCAATTGCTAATGTGAGGTAGAGAGTGAAGTGGCACTTGAGTGGCAATTGCTAGGGTTGGAATGCTCCTTGCTAAATTGGCAAGCTTGCGCTATATTAGCAATGCCACATATACATATGTGGATCCACTTCAATCTTCTTCAATTCCTTTTATTTTTTCAGCATCTCTTATAAAAATGGGTTAATACACTTGCACTGTCATAACTATCCACTTTGTGACAAATATAGCCAAATTTAAAAAATACAGAAATATAGCCATTCCGTCCAAAACTTTAATGGTAGTGTCATAACTAATGACTGGACCAACAGTTTTCGATGATGTGGCGACTTTTTGACAAAATCAATATGAGGTGGAAATGTTTTCTTTTATTGTAATTACATGCAAAACAAAACCAGATAAATAAAATAAGAAAATGAAAAGTCACTTTTTCATCATCCGTTTATGTTCCATCTACATTGTCGAATTAACTTCTTCTTCTTCTTCCACCTCCTTTTCTCTTCCACAACGGGAAAAATGCCCCAAATCCTCCTTCATTCAATTCTGATTTCCAAATCCAGGACCTTCTCTCTTTCAATCGAAAAACACAATGGAGAGGGAAGGAATAAGAATACAACTAGAGCTAGGTTCGCCGCCCACTTCGTTCGCCGACCATTTCCACTTCGCACCTTGCTCCCACTGGTTCCATAGGCCAAGCTCAGGAGATTTGCATCCAACTCTGACGGTTATAAATTGTTTCTTCTTTTGAACCTTGATGAAAAAACCCAGATCTTATATTCGAGCTTTATCCCGAAAAACCCAGATTTACTTTGTTGCATTTCTGTGCAAATAAGCAAAGAAGCGGAAGGCTTCACCTACCCTCTCTGTATGCTTCCTTATTTAGTTCTGTCCCAAAATAATCTCTACTTGGAAAGAGAAAGAATGGGCATGTGAGCCTCGATTTCATCTGTTTCGAGCCAAGACCAGAGAATGATGCGGCGCCAAAGATTTCAGGGAGAACGCGATGGAATCCTAAACAGAAGGGAAGCGAGCATCAGGCCGCTTTGCCGATTCACTGAGTCGGCGTGAAGGATCTTTTTCTATTGTACCTCAGATGGCCACCATCACTGCAGTCGGGA